AGTCCCCTGGGCCTCTAAGTAGGGATCTGCGTTTCGTAGTCTGTGCGGCCGTGCGAGCAAAGACATACAAAGCCTGCTTCGACGGAAAGAATCGCAGGGTTTAGGGTTTAGGGTTTAGGGTTTAGGGTTCAGTCAGAGTCCGTTTGACATGACCAAAAAGGGCAGGTATTGCTGATGTCTGGGGTTCTGGGTTGAGCACGGGCAGCCCCAGCACACAGAATTTGCAGCACATCCTTGCTTACCAGCTCAGCCACGAGCCCCTTTCCATTGTTGCATGCATCTACAATGTCTACTTGGAAATCCAAAAACCTACTGTTTTAGGGGCTATGCCCTGTAATGAAGGGGTCATAACCCACTAATGTAAGGTGTAAGGTTTGGGGATACAGGTACAATCCTACGACATTCAGGAGGCAAAGCATCGTGATCTTCAAGGTGAATCTTAAGGGGTTCCTGTAAATGGCTACTATAAGGGCTCATTTAAAGGATTCCTTTCAAGGGCTACTATAAGGGTTCACCTCCAGTGTAGATGCACTTGCCATCCTCTCAGTCGTCAGGAGGAAGCACTCAACACATCGGTAGTTCTCCAAACTAGGTTCCCTTTTTGGAGTCCTTCTCATAAGGGCGCCGTAATATATTGGGAACATAAAAGGGGATAGAAAACTATACCCGCATGTGCACAACATGGTGGCAGCAGTCGCTTCCCCAAAGCATGAGAATCCCAGTTGCGTCGCCCACCAATGAGTTTTTGTCTCCGCCACATTTTCCTGTCCACTGTCAGGGCTCGATGCCGAAATCACAGGCCGCTTTGCTCATACAAGACATCTCGTGGGCAAGTGGTGTTAGCAGGAGCTCAACCAAGCGAACATCAATCAACAAGCACACTAGTTGCAGGGTTTGGCCTTCCAAATCTCAAGAAACCTTGTAATTCAGAGCTGCGGCGAGACTTCATCAAATCATTCTGGAACTCCACAGAAGCCGGCAACCTGTTTCGGCCATTTGCGGCCGACTCATATTCACTGCTTCTGCTGCGTCCGTCAAGACGAAGGCGAGGCTGTTTTGTCGAAGACAGCCATGGTTTTATGGCTCACTCACTTTTTGTGGCAATAGTGACATACTCATATCCTGTTTATCTGATTCGATACTCACTGCATATCTGTTTGCGTACTTGGACTTCCCCATACAACTTGGGGTCAGTGACGGTTAGTGATGAACCAGTAGGCCTTCTTCAAGTATCAGAGATGTCGGAGTTGTCGTGTAATTATGGCTTCATTCATCTACAATGCCCTGTTTCGGATGTACGGCGGCTTCAAGTAGTTCCGGGTCTTGAGTTTAGGATGATGTCTTTGTTGGGGGGGGGTGCCCTAAACCCTAAACCCTAAACCCTAAACCCCTAAACCCTAAACCCTAAACTGCATTTATTCTGGCAGCTTCAGAAGCTGCCGAACCCTCAGCGCAGACCCCCAAGTAGCCGGATCCTCCGCACCAGGAGCCCCAAAGACTTAGTTCCCCAATACCCAACCTCTAAACTTTTGGGGTTCTTAAACTTTAGTAGCAATCTGGAAGTTTAAAAATACTTAGTTCCCAATACCCAACCTTTAAACTTTTTGGGGTTCTTAAACTTTAGTAGTAACCTGGAAGTTTAGAAATACTTAGTTCCCCAATACCCAACCTTTAAACTTTTCGGGTTCTTAAACTTCAGTAGTAATCTGATAGTTCCCCAATACCCAACCTTTAAACTTCTTGGGTCTTGAACTGTAGTAGTAATCTGAAAGTTTTAAAAATACTTAGTTCCCCAATATCCAACCTTTAAACTTTTTGGGTTCTTAAAAATTAGGAGTAATCTGAAAGTTTAACCTTTTATTTCCCTGGCCTATTGGGGAAGTAAGAACAGGGCAGCCGGGACTTCCAGAGGACCCTGTAGAG